TTTTATCAATCAATCAATCAATCAATCAAAGTTTATTTGTAGAGCGCCTTTCATACACATGGCAACACAAAGCGCTTCACAGTCCACATCACAAATCATCACATAAAACAAACACCAGAATCACAATTAAAACATTAAAATCACACAAAAGATTAAAACACAATTAAAACATTAAAATCACACAAAAGAATAAAACCATTAAAACTTTCAAAATTACACAAGAAATTTAAAAAAAATAAATAAATGACAGCAGTGCATTAAAAATGGAGATAAAATCCTTCAGTTGTATGCACAGGCAAACAGAACAGTCTTTAACCTGGATTTGAACATTGACAGAGTAGACGCCTCCCTCACATTTTCAGGGAGATTGTTCCAGATCTTAGCTGCATGGATCTGAAACGCAGCCTCCCCATGTTTGGTTCTCACTCTGGGCACCAGCAGGAGGCCAGTCCCTGTGCTCCTCAGAGTCCGGGCTGGTTCATATGACACCAACATGTCACTAATGTATTCTGGTGCAAGGCCATGGAGAGACTTGTACACAAGCAGAGCCGTTTTAAAATCTATTCTTTGAGCCACAGGAAGCCAGTGCAGAGACCTGAGGACCGGACTAATATGGTCATACTTCCTGGTTCCTGTCAGGACTCTAGCTGCTGCATTTTGGATGTACTGCAGCTGCTTACAGGTCTGTTTGGACAGACCTGTAAGCAGGCCATTGCAGTAGTCTAGCCTGCTGGAGACAAATGCATGGACAAGAATCTCCAAGTCTGCCCTGGACACTATATTTCTAACTTTGGCAATGTTCTTCAGATGGTAAAAAGCTGTTGATGTTATTGATTTTATGTGGCTATTGAAATTTAGGTCTGAGTCCAGTATTACCCCCAAATTTCTGACCTTGTCTGAAGGAAGTAGGAGAGAGACTGAAGTTGACAAATGACGCCCTCTCTTTGTTTCTGGGGACCAAAGACAATGATTTCGGTTTTGTCTGCATTTAGCTGGAGGAAATTATTTTGCATCCAGTCACTGATCTGTTGGATACAGTGAAGGAGCAAATCCAGTGGTCCATGTTCTCCTGCAGTCAGTGAGACATAGATCTGAGTGTCGTCAGCGTAATTGTGGTAGGACACTTTGTTTCTTTGTATTAACTGACCTAACGGCAGCATGTAGAGATTAAATAGGAGAGGTCCCAGGATCGACCCCTGTGGTACACCACAGGTCAGGGCCACATCATCTGAGACGCAGTCTCCAATCTCCACAGAGTACTTCCTATCCTCCAGGTAAGACCTAAACCAGTCTAGGGCTGTGCCAGTGACACCAGCCCAGTCCTCCAGTCTCTGCATGAGGATCTCTTGGTCGACAGTGTCGAACGCGGCACTAAGATCTAACATGACCAAAACTGTGACTTTACCTGCATCAGTGTGAAGTCGAATGTCGTTTGTTACCTTCACTAGAGCGGTCTCAGTGCTGTGGTGGGGTCTAAACCCAGACTGGAACATATCAAAAGAATTATTCATTGTTAAAAATTCAGTAAGTTGTTGGGAGGCCACTTTTTCAAGAATTTTTCCAATAAACGGCAGATTCGATATGGGGCGATAATTTTGAAGTCCCGCAGGATCCAGACTGCTCTTTTTTAGGAGAGGTCTTATGACTGCTGTTTTTAGGGCCATAGGAAATGTTCCTGACGACAGAGACATGTTTACTATTTGTGTCAGTGAAGGTAACAAACTGCTCAGGACGGACTTCAGAAATTTAGAGGGCAATATATCCAGGCTACATGTGGAGGAGCTCAGACTCATGATTATCTTTTTGACAGTTTCAGTATCCACAGGTGCAAAGTGAGTTAGCTCAGAAAGCTTCTCTGGCTGTTGCATTGTTATACGTGCTGTGGAGGTGATAGTGTTTTTGATTCCTTGTACTTTGTCATCGAAAAACTGTGCGAACTCATTACACCTAGATTTAGAGGAAAATTCTAGGGGCAACTTTACAGGGGGGTTCGTTAATCTACCAACTGTTGAAAACATAACACGAAAATTGTTACTGCAACCTCCAATAATGTCAGAAAAATACATTTCTCTTGTTCTACGTAGAACCCGGTTAAATTCACCCAACTCATCTTTAAAGATTTCATAATCGCCCTGGAAATTGGACTTTCGCCACTTCCGTTCGGCCCTCCGGCACTCTTGCTTCTGTGCCCTAACCGAGTCTGCCTTAGTCCATGGGGCCTTTTTCTTACTGGTAACTATTTTAACCGTCACAGGAGCAATGGCGTCCAGAACAGTCAGAACACTGGTGGTGACAGAGTTATACAATTCATCAACAGTAGAGCATGGAGTTTTCTCAAAATTTAGCATTCCCATGAACAGTTCACTTGTGTTTTCATGTATGTGTCTTCTTCTAACAGTTGTAAATTCAGCTGGTGGTTTGCTAGCAAAACACATGTCAAAAAATACACAGAAATGATCTGACAAAGCAACATCAACTACATTAACATTTGATACATTAACCCCCTTTGTAATTAGCAGGTCAAGAGTGTGCCCCCTGCTGTGGGTGGGGCCACTCACGTGCTGAATGAAACCAAAGGTCTCAAATACAGAAGCCAGCTCCTTTGCATTTCTGTCATCAACATTATCAACATGTACATTAAAATCACCTGTAATAACTAAACTATCAAAATCTGTGCACACGAATGAAAGTAGTTCAGTAAAATGGTCAATAAAATCGCAACATGACTGTGGTGGCCTGTACAGGACAATGAAAAGAGTAGAAGATTGCTTTTGTTCCATTTTAAAAGAAATATACTCAAACGATGAAAAATTTCCAAGGGGCATTCTATGGGAGACAAAGTGCTCTCTAAAAACTGCAGCTATGCCTCCCCCCCTTTTGTTTTCTCGTATTTCGGATTCGAATTTAAAATTGGGTGGTGTTGCTTCTATTAGAACTGCATTTCCTGTATTTTGGTCCAGCCATGTTTCAGCCATAAGCATAAAATCAAGATCATAAGAAGTGATAAAATTATTAATTAAAAATGATTTGTTACATAGAGATCTGACATTAAGCATAGCAAGTTTAAAAATAACGTCAGAGTCGATTAATGTGGTTGATTGATTTCTACAGGGAACAGAAATTAGATTTGCAGGGTTGGACCGTCTAACTGCTGTCCTGTTTTGATTTCGTTTTTTAGAATTTAAAAACATTTTTGAGCTGGTGCGAGGAACACACACAGTCTCAATTGGCCTAAAATGTGAAAACCCTTGTTGTTCTTTAGCTCCCAGAGTCAGAAGGGAGTCAGCACAGTTCAGTGTTTGGACTGGTAATGCACTGCCAGCCAGACGGACAGGGAGCAGTGTTTGCACCGTTGTACTCACCCGGTGCTGGTGAGCAGGAGGCGGGGGAGTGCGGTGGGGTCCGAGGGGGCTCAGATGTAAACAGTCACGCCCCCCTCGGGGAGCACTGAACAACATAACGTATGTAATCCATCAACAGGCTGCTACCGTATCTGTTTGGGTGTAATCCGTCTGGACGATAGGCTTCGTTACGTTTCCAGAAAAGGGCAAAGTTATTCACAAAGACAAAGTTAAAAGTTTCTGACTGCTATGAAGTTTCATGTCGTTAATTTCCCACATGCACGACTACCTTGGAAAACGGTATCAGGCAGGGACTGAAGCAGAGGGAGGGAGACGTATGAGCAGGTCTGGTACAGTAGCTCCGGGAATACAGCGAGGTGACCGCGTTAAAGAAGCGGACGTGTCCTCACGATGGAATCTCCAATAATCAGAGTGGTCGGGGCGAAGAGTGGCCTCGGAGAAGGAGCTCGGTGGACGGAACCAGCGGGTTTCACCCGAAGCAGGACCCGGCCTGAGCGCCGCTGAACACATGGAGAGGAGGAGCGGGGGGTGCTGACTCTCAGCTACAGGCGACCCACGCTGTGTGCTCGGGGACGCTGGAGCGGTGAGAGGGGCTGGCTCTGGACGCTGCTGCTGACCCGGTGGAGGTGAGCGGTGGTGATGATGGCTCGCTACCCCGAGTCTGAGGCTGCTGCACTGGGGTCAACATGGCTGGTGGACCGCTCTTTCGCCTGAGGACTGCTTCCTTTAGGAGCGTTTTCCTCGCAGTGGACTTGGATCCTCGAGCAGTAGAGTTTGCTGCAGTGTCCAGAGGATTCTGCTGAGGGGGCCGGGATGTCAGTGGAGAGGGCTGCATAGCGGTTTGCCAGACTCAGGACATGGGCCACGGCGCAGGATGGCTCCTCGGAATCCGCGGGGCTCGTTATTCGGAAGCGGGCGCTTAGGTGTAGAACAGGAGGGTCCGGAGCTGACGGATCTCTCCCACACGACAGTGTCACAATATGCAGCGCTCAGTGACATCAGCCGTGAGTGCTGCCCACCAGCGACTTCAAAAAGTTTTTGGATACTAGAGATTGTTTCTCATTCAACTCTGCGGTGAGACGAAGGACTTCTTTTCGTAGATCTGCAATGGTGGCACGGTCCGCTCTCACGGAGCTCCAAGGTGAGGCGACTAATATTGTGCATGTTTGAGCCAATTTCATTGTCACTTTCCATGTCCTGCTCACTCTCTGCAGGTTAGCTTGTGTTAGCTGGTATCTCTGTGCTACTAGTGGTCAGTTCAGTCGGATTAAACACAATCGACTAAGTGCTACGCTTTGCTGTTTTTCTTCCATTTTAAGTATTTTTAAATCCACTGAATTAAAAAACCTCTGATAAAAAATCTGTTTGAGGCACTGCTCAGTCTGACTGTGATCTCCCACAGTGCACCACCTCCTCACATCAAGGAGGGACTCGCACCACCCTCCTCACATCAGTGAGGTACTGCAACCACCTCCTCACATCTGAGACGGACTGCACCACCACCTCACATCAGTGAGGGACTGGCACCACCTCCTCACATCATCGAGGACTGCACGCGACCTCCTCACAGTAGAGGTAATCAGTGACGGACTGCACCCCTCCTCAACATCAGAGAGGGACTCACCACCTCCTCACATCATGAAGACCTTGCACCACCTCCTCACAATCAGTGACGACGTGACCACCTCCCTCACATCAGTGAGGGACTGCACCACCACCTCACATCAGGGAGGGACCTGCACCACCCTCCTAACATCATTGAGAGACTGCAAACCACCACCTCACCTCAGCGAGGGACTGCACCACCTCCTCACATCATTGAGGGACTATGCACCACCTCCTCACAATCAGTGAGGACTGCAACCACTTCCTCACATCAATGAGAGACTGCACCACCACCTCACATCAGTGAGGGACTTGCACCACCTCCTCAAATCAGTTGAGAGACAGCACCACCTCCTCACATCAGTGAGGGACTGCAACCACCGTCCTCACATCAGTGAAGACAGCACCACACCTCTCACGATCAGTTAGGACACAGCACCACCTCCTCACATCAGTGAGAGACTGTACCACTCCTCACATTAAAAACAGTGAGAGACTGCAACCACCTCCTCACACCTCATAGAAGAGCTGCACCACCTCCACACATCAGTGAGAGACTGAGGCAACCACCACTCACGAATTCCGTCCAGTGAGGGACAGCACCACCTCCCTCACATCAGTGAGAGTACTGCACGACCCTCCTCACATCTGTGAGGGCTGCAACACCTCCTCACATCAGTGATGGACTGCACCACCGTCCTTCCTCACAAGCAGTGAGAGACTGCACCACCGTCCACACTCAGTGAGGGGCTGCACCACCTCCTCACATCATGAGGGACTGCACCCCCCCTCCTCCCATCAGTGAGGGACTTGCCCACACCACCCCCTCTCTCACATCAGGAGGGGCCTGCACCACCATCCTCACATCAGTGAGGGACTGCTCCGCACCTCCTACACATCAGTGAGGGACGCACCAACCCTAACATCAGTGAGATACTCACACACCCTCCTCACCATCAGTGACGGAACCGCAACCACCTCCCTCACAACAGTGAGGGACTTGCAAAACCACCTCCTCACATCAGTGAGGGACTGCACCACCTCCTCACATCAGAGAGAGACTGCACCACCCTCAATCATGGACGAACAGCCACCACCACTCCTCACATCAGTGAGGGACTGCACCACCTCCTCACATCATGACGGACCGCCTCCAGCCTCCACAGCATCAGTGAGGGGACTGCACCACCGACCTCACTCACTGCACCCACCTCTCTCACTGGGACTGCACCACCTAGTTCCTCACATCAGTGAGAGACTGCAACCACCTCAAATCAGTGACGACTGCACCACCTCCTCACATCAGTGACGAACCGCACCACTTCCACACAACAGTGACGGACTGCACCACCTCCTCACATCAGAGGGACTGCACCACCTCCTCACAACAGTGAGGACTGCACCACCTCCTCACATCAGTAATGGACAGCACCACCTCCTCACATCAGTGAGGGACAGCTACCACATCACCTCACATCAGTGAGGCCTCGTGCAAGGGGCACGCGTCTCCTCAACGATCAGTGAGAGACTGCACCACCTCCTCACCACAGTGATAGACATGCACCACCGACCTCACATCATGAGAGACTGCACCACCGATACTCACATCAGTGAGGGATCAGCACCACCTCCTCACATCATGAGGGACTGCACCACCTCCTCACATTGTCAGTGAGGACTGCACCACCTCCTCACATCAGTGATAGAACTGCACCACCTCCTCACATCAGTGACGGACCCGCACCAACCTCCTCACATCAGTGAGGGACTGCAACCACCTCCTCTCATCAATGAGGGACTGCAAGCCACCTCCTCACATCATGAGTGGACTGCACCACCTCCTCACATCATTGAGAGACTGCACTACCCTCCACACATCGTGAGGGAACAGCCACCACCTTCTCACATCAGTAAGGGTTACACAGCACTAAGACGGGCCACCTCCTCAAACAGTGAGGGACTGCAAAACCACATCCTCACATCAGTGAGGGACTGCACCACCCTAACGCTCACATCAGTGATAGACTGCAACCACCTCCTCACATCATGAGAGACTGCACCACCCCTCCTCACATCAGTGAGAGACTGCACCACCTCCTCACATAGCAGTGAGGGACTGCACCAACCTCCTCACACAGTGAGGGACCGCACCACCATCCTCCCCACATCAGTGAGGGACTGCACCACCACCTCCTCACATCAGTGAGAGACTGCACCACCTCCTCACATCAAGAGACTGACCGCACCACCACCTCACATTATCATGAAGGACAGCCACCACCTCCTCTCAGACCTTGAGGGACATCGCCACCACTCCCCAATCAGTGCGGGACTGCACCACCTTCCTCAACATCAGAGAGAGACTGCACTACCTCCTCACATCAAGAGAACTGCTCCACAGTCCTCACATTCAGTGAGGGACTGCCCACCTCCTCACAATCAGAGAGAGACTGCACCACCTCCTCACATCAGTTAGGAACTGCACCACCTCCGTCACATCAGTGAGGGGGCTGCACCACCTCCTACATCAGTGAGGGGCAACAACCCAACCTCCTCACGATTTGAAGCATCAGTTAAAACTGTGGCTGAGGACTCTCAATATGTGAGCATGAGTAAAATAAGTTCCCCCCCCTGGAATAAATAAGCAACACTCAACAGGAACATGCTAGGGAACAGTGCAATAGGGAACAGTGCAGTACGGGAACAGTGCAATAGGGAACAGTGTCAGTAAGGGAACATGCAGTACGGGAAACATGTGCAGTATGGAAACAGTGCAAATAGGGAACAGTGCGTAGGGACAGTGCAGTAGGAAACAGTGCAGTAGGGAACAGTGCAGTAGGAAACAGGTGGCAGTTGGAAGGATGTGCAACACAATGTCTGGGTCACGTCCATTTCGCTGTCATAGTTTACTGTCTCCACAATGTTTGTACGTGTTCAGTGGTCCTTGCATTATGTCCTGAATTTAATCTTGTGCACATTTATTTTTGCAATGATTTGAAATGTAACGACTTGTTTTGTTTTTATGTCTAGGCTATAATCCTGGCACTTTTACATTGGTCAAAAGTTCATTAATATGCCATTGTAACCTTCTTTTTTAAAACCCCAATAAATAAATACATGAACACTTTAATCCGTAAAAATTGAAGACTCAGTACCATTATTACAGACAAGACATCATTATTACTCTGGATGTCGAACCTCTCTCATGATTGTGATCTCCCTGCACATACCCTTAAATTAGTAAAATGCAACAGACTAGAGAAAACAGAAGCAGACAAAACGTAGATGTACTTTCTCAGAGTAAACTTCAGAGAACACACACAAGTGAAACATACAATGATTTATATTAAATATTGCAATACTTTTGATTGGGAAAGATTTTGCGATACTGAACAGAACTGATGTTTTCCTCCACCACACTGAGTCGGAGGTTTGAGATTCAAGTTTTGATGAAGTGAATGTATAACCTGTTGTCATTTATGAAGAAATGGTTATGCAGCAGAAGACTGGAGCTATTTGACCCTGGATGTAATGGCTGTTCCACATCCACCCATTCAAGATTGAGATATTTTTTTTTATTGCATGTTTGAGTGATACTGTTTTTGTTAGGCAATAGTGGTCAAAATAAACATGTTTAATGGAATTACCTCTTATGCAAAACAAACTCATACCAGAATGTTTCTTGTGCTTCCTTTACCTTCTGTCGTCCTCCTCCGCCCTGAGAATGACTGACTCTGTCCAATAGTTGTAAGATCTTTTTAATAATAATAATATTGCATTCATTGTAGTTTGTTAACCTTTATCATAAGAAAACTTTTTTTTTTGTGATAATGTTTTTTCTAAACTGACACACTTTAAACGTTCATAATTTCAGGGCTCCAAAGAAGACTGTGTTTTGACAATCCATGGATTGACCCATGAAGCCTCTCAGCGAAGGCGAACAAAGCCGCCTGTCAGAGCGCCACCTAGAGGAGAGGACACATCCAAATGTTCTCCGGCCGTGCAGCAGTATCAGAGTTAATTTTAACGAATGAACAGTGTAGGATTGAGTAGTTTTGTTAGGTACGGTCACAGCATTTTGAATCCACCTCCAGGACGGGGCCGTTTCGTGAGTGAGTTTGCCATGTTTCTCCTCATGTCTACGCAGGTTTCCTCCGGGTGTTTCCAGTTTCCTCCTGGTGCTATTCAGATTCCGCTAACACTAACACCTGTTCATAGATCTGAATGTAAACAGTGAATGAACGAAAAGGGGAATGGAGTCCTTGATGCATCCAGTGAGTTTATGCGTCTTGCTTCTGTCATCAACAAAGTCTGTACTAACTTGGAACTGAAGCAGAGCTTTAGGTCACTATGGTCCAACTTTGGCCGGACTGGAAATGCTGCAACCAATCAGAGATCTGGCTTAAGCTCCCAGGATGGCACCCCTTTTTCTACCACTCATCACATACATATGTTTATTACAGTTAGCTTTAATCTTCCTTTTGCATTAATGGTTTATGAACTGATATCAGTTTCATTAAATTTCACTCCTAATCTTTGAGCCGAATGTTGTTAAAAGACAATACATACAACAATAAACACGACCAAATCCCTCAAAAGATAGTCGGACAAGACTGACTGTCTATAAACAGTATAGTTTTTCAATGTAATTTCAGGTATAATTGCTCAAGAGAGCTTTGAGAACTCAATCCTGGCAAATCTTTGGCAAGAGTCAATCTCAGTAACTGGCTAATACGAGGTGGATGTAAGGATCCAACACAGTGGTTTAGTGTGGACCTATGTGAGTTTTGTTGCAGAAGCATTCCTAACAGAGCGGCAGCCATAGAGATTGGGACTCGAGTTTGACTTAATTGCTATTACTTACAGACTTCAAAAACATTGATCAATCAAAATAATTAAACATTTTAGAATAATTCTTTGAGAAGAATTATCCCAAGTGAACCAGACGAACAAGTGTCCGTCAATCTCACTCCACAGGGATGGGAGCTGGGCAAGCCATACCTAATGTACATGTTTTTGGTAGTAGGGAGGCACCCGTAGAAAACATCTGCAGTCACAGGGCACATATATAAACTCCACAAGCGAGGTGGAATCAAACACAAGACAACCTTTGAACACAAGTGCAAGCTACTGTGCTACCGTGTTGCCCATTACAGCAATTATCACTGGTAGGAGGTGAGCAGTTTATTTTTGAGAATCAATGGTTATTTGTAGAAAGGGTAATACATAACCTTTGATGTATAGATCATAATGAAGTTCAATTCAATTCAATTCAAGTTCAATAATATGAAGGAGATTCTACAGTAAGTCTACAAAGTAGGTTTAGGTTATTTTTATTCTTTTCTTGAAAAAAGTACAGAAACACCACCTTTATACTTGAGAGACTATTGTGTTTTCACCTCTTTTTGCTGCACCAATATTATTGCAATCGCATACATCTTCAGAATGTGTACTAGAAAGTTGTGGATAGATATGACCAGAAACCAGAGGAAAGCTGGTTCAAGCCTTGTCGGCAAGCGTTGCAATCTGACAGTACACCCGCTGACTATTATCACTGGGGCCTATCCTATTAAAGTCTTAAGAAGAAGTCAAGGATGAAGCTGCTGTACAAGATATGATTGCAGAAATTCAATTGTAACATAGATTTTACAAGATTACTTTCTGTAGGAAGCAAGTGGTACAGCATTTAGCCATCTCACCTCACAGAAAGTCTCGCCTGTTTGTTTTTTCCACTAATCCGTTGACTTCCTGCTCCAGTTTTGCTGTATTTCATCTCTTTGAGACAATCACACTAGTTGTATCAGATAATGCATTGGAATTGCTGTGACTTGCTAATAAGACGACATAAGTCTTTCTTTAAAATCAAGATACTACATCAGAAATTTGCTGAGTTAAGATCGCACACCTGGAAATTCATATTAAATATTTGTCACATCACCATCTTGTGAAGAATGGCGTCAAAACAACACTTTGAAAGCTACAACTGGAGCAACAGCGTGCCGTGAAGGGGGCCCCGGGCAATGGTCGTCATGTGGTGAAAAATGCATTCTGTTGCTAATATTCCTCACTGATGAAAAAACAACTTTGAAAATGGTAGGAGCAGAGTGATTGTACCCCAGTCACAGAGCTTAATCGATGGATGCAAAGAAGAATTTGTGCATTGGATGGTATTTCTTACATTTGCAGCATGGTGGTGCAGTGGTTAGTGCTTATGCTCCAGGCATTTCTGTGTGGAGTTTGCATGTTCTCCCCGTGTTTGCATAGGTTTCCTCTGGGTGTTCCGGTTTCTCCTACCACTAAAAACATGTTGCTGTATTTCTACTGTCTCTTTAATGCAGCATCAGAAGACCCAATTAAACCATATGAAAGGAATGTAAATCTTGTTAACTACTAGCCTGGCCTTAGCCATCCGTGCACTCTGCTCAATCATCATTTCACTGCATGTAACGTCTGGGTCTGGTCCCCATGTTAGCAATTACAATCGATTGAATTTCGACCGACCATTCAGAGAGCGCGGAAGGAGAGTGTTGTAGTTAGTTGTGGGTGATGTCAAGAGTTTGTGTCGAACAGGCCGGTTGTAGTTTGGTAATGGCGAAAAATGTGAAAGTAAAGTAATCCGCTCTCGCTCTATCAAGAAATTGGGGTAATGTTTAGCAAATGTAATCGCTGGAAGAAATTGTGGCGCTACTCCCCACGGGCTCCGTTAGCGGCAAAGGAGATGGCTAGGCTAAATGCCAAATGCTAACGACTCACTCGGGCGCATTACATATGTCACGGTAAACTCAGATCCACGGTTTCAATCTGCAAAAGGAGTTAACCCCTCCCACCTGTTCACGGAGCTCAATGGAGCAAATCCAGACCTTAGTATGAAATGTCATTTGTACTATGGTGTGGTATGACCAGGCTAGTTAACTACTTATGAGTGTAAACATTTATGCTGGAATAAATAAATGAATGAATAATTATATATTGAGTCAAATTGTATATTGAGTCCAAACATCATCCGACACTAGAATGAGACAAAAACCCTAACCCATGTTTTTATTCAGTTTGAAGGCTAATTTGAATGATAAATTACCACCATGTTTTCCTTTTGTTTTTGATGAAGTAAGTGTTTGATAGATTGACTGAATATACACGTCACATTAGCATACAGAAAACATGTTTTTCTCGGTACAGTAAGCTGCTACATCAGACAATGCGCGGAAGCCAGAACAAACATAAGACAATAGTTGTGAGTTGTAATCATATCTAAACCTTAAAGTTTGACCAAATAAGACAACTTGCAGTGATGCTAACAATGAAGTCCACAATTCTAAAGCTGGGGTACCTGGCTTTCAAACCACTTTTCAAATACATGTATTGTTGGCCTCTGTCACATCTTTAGATCACCCTTTTCATACAATTTTTTTTTCTTCTAATAAGTCAAAGACGGATTGTTGTGGGCTGATTTGCTTACGACATCTTACAGCATCTTTGTTAGGGCAAAGGAGGGATAATGTCAAAAGATGAAAAACAACTGCAAATACACGTGTAAGGGATTTAAATCAAACCAAATCCAGGATAATAATCATCACAAAAATCTAAACTAAAACGGGAACAAGATGTGGGGGAAAGAAAATGCATTGACAACAAGAGGAGAGGGGCACAGGGGATACACAAACAGAGACATAAATGAAGGGGGGGTGGATCAACATGCAATGAACTCAAAGGACAGGACAACCCATTTTCCAAAATTGAACAAAGTATCAAATAATAATAAAGATCCATGCCAATACAGATAAGTTAGATACCCCAGCTTGCTTGTAAAAAAACACAAAAAACATGGGGCTACAATGGGTCAACAATGGGGAATCAAAACAGTTAAATAATTTTTCAGATTAAAACACTGACGACCCCAAATTATGAGGACAATAAGGTTATTGTATCTTTTTTTTAAATGTACACTGTGTAATTTTTACTGCCATCTAGCGTTGAGTTCATATATTGCAAGTCTACTTCTACTACCAACACTACAAAGGCCTCCGAAGTATGTCGTGTTTGATAGTGGTCCCCATACCATAGCTTTCACCAAGTGCTGCATTATCACAGTTAGAAAACACAACATTCACTCACGCTAGTGATAAAGTATTCTGGGATTGTTTTGTGGGTATTCTGTGTTTTGTTGAAACTTGTGACATAGTAGTTGGACTCTGAGCTGGTCAGTACACCCGGGGTCTGTGTTGTAGATTCTGCCTCGTTCTCATCACTTTTGGTGTGTGAAGAAAGTTACATATTGTTCATTGTGAGTCTGTTGTGTGCAAACTACACACTGTGCCTCCTGTAACTCTGCTTTTCAGTGCGTGTGGGTTGCGACGTTGACAGTTTGCTGCTTCGACGACGGACTTTTGCATAATTATTTTTTAAGATTGCTCGGGTTGTTCTTTTATATAACGGGTCCTCCATGGTTCTTTTATATAACTGTATAACTTCTTAAAACTTGTGAGGACACAGTGAAAGCTACAATATCAGAAGCAGTAGAAATAAAAACGCGGTTCTCGCATGCTTTTTGTCCTTTATCCACCACTATATTTCAAGATGGCGCATTTACATGGAGAGGACTCTGCTCTCATGGACATTTACAAATGTAATTCTTAGCCTAGCAAAAAATTACAAAAACACAGTGGAGATAAATATTCTTAAAAAGGTCACATTTGTTATTAGTTAAAAAAAAAAAAGTTCATATGGAGCAACTGTAAAAATTACACAGGGTGGCTTTAAGTTTTGGTTGTTTTGTGGATTTATGCTTGGGGCCCTTTGGTAACGCCTCTGTCACCACGCGGCGCGCAATTTTGTGCTTAGACTCTGTAGACTATTTCCCCCCCTTCCCTTCTCATCCTCCTCTGCTGCATGAAGTCTTAATATATATTTTATTCACTTTCCATTATCTACAGCAGACTGCATGGCGCGCGCGTACATGATGGCACGTTCCCCCCCCTACCCCCTCTCCTTCTCTCGTGTTTGTGTGCTTCACGTCACAGAATCAAGTTTTTTTTCCTCCCCTCTCCTCCTCTCTCTCTCTATCTCTCTCTCTCTTTCTCTCTGACTGAAGCAGCAGCAGCCCACTCACCCACTCACTCGCGCACACTCCAGTAAAGTCCAAGGTCCAGGCGCGCATCTCCGCTCCACGCTGCGTAATAGACACCTCAGCGAACATGGACGGACTAACGGATGGACCTTTTTGGGACGACTAGTCACTATTAACGAGTGGATATCAGCCTGATTTTGGATTACACTTCATCTGCGTAAAGACGGAACTATTGTTTTGTGTTTTGGGGAATAGAAAAAGGTTGCTAGGAGGACAAAAAAGGCTGCCTGCAACACGGAAAGTCGCGGATCATGCTTATGGGAACTTCTGATTCGGTCTCATTAAGGTATTTGAAGTTGTTTTAGTGTTTGGGGTGAGGATTTGGATGGAGGAGAGCTGGGGAGTTTTGAGACAAAGAGGCAGCCGCTGCACAGGTGATGGGCGCGCTATACCTTTTGGGCATCTCGCGCGTAAAAGCCACATTTGCTCACTTTGCATCCCTCGCTTGTGTTTGACAACGTTTCCATTTAAAACCTTGAGGCTGTGCGCGTTTTTTTGTTTTGTTTTTTACACTGGAAGTAAAATGAAACCAGTTCACAAAAAAGACAAACGCAACTTAACAAACGCATGCAATCCGGTTTTCCTCCAAACGGGGCCAGAGAGAGTTTGGAGCGGATCTCGGGTCTTTATCCCCAGTTGGGAGCGTGTTGTGGTTTTTGCGCATTACACCCTGCCCACTACCGCGCGGTGTGGGCAACGCAAACCTCCAGTCAAGCAGAGCGCGGAGCAGCCCATCTGTTCATCACATAGCAACAAGACGGGAGAGGGAGACAGAGCGCTCCCAGCCTCCACCATCCACAGCTCCAATCGCGTGTGATGCAAAATAGCTTCAAATGTGACCGTACCTCAAGTCTCAAGGCGCGCTTTGAGGTGGTCTTTAAAAGGGAAAATGGCGAGCCAACTCTGTGCAAGTGCTGAGTAAACTTTAAGCTAAACTGGATTTTGAAAAGACTAAGAGTGAATCAGCCATAGTGGGTATTGGTTGGAGCTCAAAATGGCATTGTATTTCTAATCAGATTCTGTTCTATGCAAGTACAGGCCTCATCATGCCAGAAGTCCTTTCAAAAATGGATTCCCAAATAATGTCATACTCATTAGTACAATTATTTACTTGGAGGATTTGACCAATGCATCTTCAGAGCAACAATATTGTGTAA